CATGCTTAGGTGACAAAACTATAAAGGGAAGGAGGCAATCACCTCAAGAGGCAGGATGTTAGTGACCTTTGTGGGAAGACGGCTGTTGATGGGATGAGCTGAAGGGAAGTTCTGGGGAGTCAGGACTTGGGTGCTGGTCATGTGGGGTTTGCTTTGTGATAGTGCATTGGACTGTTAGGTTTGTGGCACATTGTTATATGTGCCACACTTGACAGTAAAAATGATTTTGAAAAAATAAAACTGTTTCAAGCGTATCTGTCAGCTTTTAGAAAGTTCATCCCATGTGTGCTGTGCCCATGCACACATGCATGAACTCATGTGAGTTCTGAGTGTACATACTCACATGTGCTGTGGCATGCACACATGCATCTGTGTGTGCAAATTCATGTGAGGTGGAAGTGTACACACTTATATGTTCTATGCCACGCAAATGTATCTGAGTGTATGTGTACTCATGTGAGCTGTGTTTGCACTCACATGTGCTGTGCCATGCATACATGCATCTGAGTGTGCACACACATGTGAGCTGTGAGCGCACATACTTGTGTGTGCTGTGGACATCCTTCTGACGTTTGCCTTGCCTGGGTTTGAAGGGCTGGGCTTGCTGGTTTGGGAGAATTTGCAGAGAAACCTAACAGTCCAATGCACTATCATAAAGCAAACCCCAGATGACCAGCGCCCAAGTCCTGACTCCCCGGAACTTCCCTTCAGCCCATCCCATCAACAGCTCTCTCCCCACAAAGGTCACTGACATCCTGCCTCTCGAGGTGATTGCCTCCTTCCCTGGCATTTTCGGGCAGACACAGAAGGTCAAGAAGTTGATCCGAGCTGAGGTGTCAGGGCCTGTACCCTGCAACGTGTGAACAGTTGTCAAAGGAGAACGGTGGGTTAGGGAGTGCTTTGCAGATGGCCAACCTGCGACCTCTCCTCTGGACCCCAGAAGGCAAAAGGGAGCTCTTTGGGGAGAGGAAGTTGAGTGCGGATTGTGACCACTATGTGGGGTGATGATAAAACATCAGAGGAGAGGACTTGGGCAGCTCAGGGAGAGGGCAGCTCTCAGCTGGTGAGAGGGTGAGATAAGGGCTCTTTTCCTTTAGGGAGCCATGGAGGGTGGCCCCAGAGCCCAGGGAGGAGGGGTCCCTTCTCCCGAAGTGAGAGGAGGGAGTGGGACGGAGGCAGGAACTGGTGATGTAAAGAGGAGAGGGGGTTTCCCCTTGGAGGTTCTCCTGCCTGGGGTGTCCCTGGAGCCTGGAGAGGTCCTGGGAGAGGGGCTGAATGACAGCTGCATGGGTGCAGGGCAGCACATGGGCTGCTCCTTCGGAGGGGATATCTGCAGAGTGAAGGTGGCTCCTCCACTTTCAGAGAGGATCCTGAGGCTTAGAGGATCAGTAGCTATGAGGACAGTGGGGCCATTTTCCTCCTACCCCCACCTCTTCTTCCTGCCTCTTCCCATGCCTGGCATCCTGGCCTTCCCTGGATACTGGATTTGAGGTTTGCTTGGAGTGACATGGCAACATGGGCCCCAGAGTTATAGAGCTGAGATGAACTTTCAAGCCCACGAGTCTCATTCAAACTAAGACCCATTCACTGAACACCTGCTCTGCCCCGGCGCTGGGGTTGGCTCTGGGGACATGGCTGGGGTTTAAGCAAAGTTCATAAGCTCCTGGAGCCAATGTTTCTAGGGGGTGGGGAAGCAAGAAGCAGTCAACATCCAGAGGAACAAGCAAATAAGCCAGAAACCGGAAGCCACGAGGGCCCTAAAGGGTCCCCAGGCCCTTGGCGTGGGCAGGGTGGGGCCTCCTGGAGGGAGTGAAGTTGGAGGCCAGCTTGAAGAGCAGGTGCGGTTCCTGTGGTTGCCATAACAAATGACCATGAACCTCGCCGACTAACACAGCACACACTCCTTCTCTCGCAGTCCTGGAAGCCGGAGTCTACAGTCAGTCTGTCCAGGCTAAAGTCAAGGAGTCAGGTGGTGGCTCCTTCTGGGGCCTCTGAAGGGACCATTTCCTTGCTTTCCTTGCATTTCCAGCTTCTAGAAGGTCCTCTGCATTCTCAGCCTCCCCCACAGAGCCCCCACCTGTCGCTCCATCATCCCACTTTCTAACTTCTGCTGACTCTTTCTGCATCCCTCTTATAAGGACCCTTGTGTCACATCAGGCCCATCCTACAATCAGGATCAGGCTATTTGCCTTGATCACATGTGCTAAGTCTCTTTTGCCATATAAGACGTTCCAGGGCTCCGAGGGTCATGACATGGATGCCTTTGGAGACCATTCTTTGGCCCGTCACAGAGGGAATGGTCAGGAGGAATGAAGCAGGTGTGGGTGACAGCCCCAGGCACTCCTCTGCTCCTTCAGCTCTGACCCATTCTGAAATTTCCATCTGTGCTCCTCTGTTCTGAACCCACTTACCCCAGAGGGAGCAGGAAGGAAGATGTGTGACCCACAGGTGAGCTGTGGGAGGCAGGGCTGCCCTCCTGGAGGCACTGGCTGGGCCCCGCGTCAGGGCAGTGGAGGTCGTCTGTCCTGCAGCAGCTGCACCATGGCCGCCTGATGGGACAGACAGAAGGCCAGCTCTGGTCACCTGGAGCCCGGCCACTGGCTCACGTGTGACCTGGAACAGGTCCTCACCCTCTCCAGGCCTCAGTTTCTGCCTCTGTCATGTGGGGTGTTGGGACATGGGGACCTGTGCCTGTGGGATTCCAGGTGTTCACAGAGGACCCAGCCTGGGGCAGGGCGCTCCTCCTGGCGGGCGCTGGCCTTGTGAGCATGCTGTTTACATCTTCACGGGACACGCGGAGGGGTGGGTGGCGGCCCAGCAGCTGAAACTGCACAGGAGCCAGAGGGTTGCACAATGGCGGGACAGCAGCTGGCAGGCTCTGCAGAGGTTGTTTTTTACCGAGTGCAGCTGGAGAGGCAGCCAGGGAGGCGGCTCCGCCCGGAGGGAACAGTCAGGTCTCGGGGGCTGGGAGGACAGAGGTCTCAACCTCCCACTATGACAGGGCCAGCCGGGGTGGGTAAAAGGGCGACCCCCCATCAGGGGAGGGCTGTCTGAGTGTCACTGTCCCTCTTCCTCTGGAGGTGGCAGCCACAGGCCTCCTGGATGCAGAAGCCCAGAGCTGAAGACCTCCACAGAGGTCGCTCGAGGGTGTCAGAACTGGGACCACAGCCCAGGCCTGCTCACTCCCAAGCTCAGAGACCCCCGCCCACCTCCCCGCTTCACAGATGGGCATCCGGAGGCCATGGTCATTCGAAGCCAGGGGCAGAGAGCAGGAGTGTGGTGGGAGGCAACATCTCAGGGGCACATTCTGGCCTGGAGTGTGAAGAGTGTGAATAGGATCCTCCTCACGCTGTTTAATTCAGTGCTCACACAGCCAGTTTATCTCCTTCAACGGAACCCAAACTGTTAAGAAAACAACATCATGGGCCGGGCGCAGTGGCCGTGAGCCACGTGTAATCCCAGCACTTTGGGAGGCCGAGGCAGGTGGATCACAAGATCACCTGGCAATATGGTGAAACCCCGTCTCTACTAAAAATACAAACATTAGCCAGGTATGGTGGTGGGCACCTGTAGTCCCAGCTACTTGGGAGGCTGAGGCAGGAGAATCGCTTGAACCTGGGAGGCGGAGGTTGCAATGAGTCGAGAACACACCACTGGCTGACAGAGTGAAACTCCATCTCAAAAAAAAAAAGAAAGAAATCAGCCTCCTGACCTCACAGCCCCGCTGTGCTCCTCAGGCCCCTGCAACGGATCTTGGGACTCCGAAGCCAGGCTGCAAGGTGAACGCGACCCAGACAGAGCCAGGAGAACACAGCCCGTCTGTGAGTGAGCGGGTGGGTTTGTGGTCCACTCTCCCCTGAGGCATTTGTGGGGCAGACACAGGGTTGAGAAGGTGGTCTGACCTGGGGTGTCAGGGCTTGTCTCCCACAAGGTGGGAACAGTTGTCAAGGGATAAGTGGCTTCATGTGATGGGCACTGATGCAGAGACAGTGTGAATGGGCAGAATCCCCAGACCCAGTTCCCCTAGAACCCACAGGACCCCAGAAATCACTAGAGTGACCCCTGATCCTTCAGATTTGGAAGAGCTGTGGGAATGGGGGTCATGGTTTCCCTGGTGGCCCCTGACGCTCTCCCAAGCGCTCGCCTCTCCAATAATTGGTAAGGTCACAGCTCTCCATGCCCTCTTCCCGACCTCAGCCCCCCAACACCCAATAGGCTCCTCTTAGCCAGGGCCCAAAGACTCAGGGGACAAGGGCCTACTCTCTGGGGCCACTGTGTGTGTGGAGAGCCCCGGCCGCAGGTGGGAGTCAGAGCAGGGCCTGGAGGGTGGACATGGCTGCCTGAGCCTGGCAGGTGGATGGAAGCCTAGATGGGGCCAGAGTGGCTCGGGGCCTGGTGGGGGTGGCCCACTCTGGGTGGAGCAGAGGGTTGGGGGCAAGTTCACGGCTCCCAGTGCTCTGCTTCCAGCTACTCTAGGCAGTGTCCCTGGACCTCCTGCTCGTTGAAATCGCTCTCTGCCTCAGTTTCCCCATTGCTGGGTGGGTGGCAGGGAGGGTGAAATAGCACAGATGTGGGAAAGGGTCCTTCATGTGACCAGACATGCACAGTGGGGCTTAGTGGGAGCTCCCCGTAAGCTGGGTGGCTTCCCAAGTGCTGCACCCGTCACCTTGCATCCTGGGGCGACCAGGAGGTCAGCGCAGCAGAGCCAGCCTTCCTGTTGGACAGAGGCAGAGGCCACAGCAGGGAGAGGGACATCTCTTGCCCAAGACCATGAAGCTGGAAGTAAGTGGAGGAGCCAGGACTTGAGCCGGGCTGCCTGACTCGGAGCCAGCCCTCCGCAGAACCACATGACCCTGAGGCCTGGTGTGCCCCAGTGCTCGGCTGTCATAGAAACCCTTTAAAGGCCCATGTCTTTGCAGGTATACCCAGTCATGTGTTAGATGGATCCCCAGGAAGAACCCTGGCCAGTGGTGGGCAGGCTGCCCCAGTGCCCTGCTGGCTGAGAACCATGTGCTTGTAAACTTTATTTTCCATACAGTAGAGAAACATACAGTACAAGCGACACTGGGAATCTGTTTTACAGCAAAGCTCACAAATGCCCCTTGAGACACACTTGTTCCCTGGGTGAGGGGGGTGATGCCCAGGAGCCCGCTTGCCTCTGGGCGGCACTTCTATGCGAGCAGCTGCTGCATCCCAGAGCTGCGTGGGAAGGGGAAGCCGGCTCAGTCCTCACACCCCACAGTTCCACGTCCACTGTCCTCTGCAGGCCGCCCCATGACCATCTTGGGGAGGAGAAGCTTCCCCAGGCAGCAGCCAACTTTCCACGTGCTCCCCGTGGCCTCCTGCCTGCCTGGGGAGGAAATCCTCACAGCAGGGCGGGGCTCAGCTCCACAGCCAGGGGGCATTCACTCAGTGCCTGCCCCGGGCTGGACCCCCCACCCCGAAGGGATCAGATGTGACCTGTCCTCCAGGGACCCCAGGCTGGCAGGCAGCAGCCTCGGCCCTACAGCTTGGTAAGTCCTGGGGCAGAGGGAAGCTGGGGCCTCAGGTCAGGTGGGCGTTTGTCAGTGGGGAAGAAGCTTGGCAGCCCAGACCTGCAGTAGGAGGGGCAGGAGCGGGGGTACTGCAGACAGGTGTTCACAGGGGCGGAGGCGGGAAGCTAGGAGAGGAGGGGACCTCCAGGGAAGGCAGTTTTGTGAATATCCCGAGAACCTGAAAGTGACTTTCAGGAGCATCTGTACAAGGGGATGTTGGGCTTCCCTCCCTGCACTGGGAGGTGGATCCAATACTCCCCAGGCGGAAATTCGGGCCCCTGGCCAAGCCCAGCCTTCGCTCTGCCCCGGACAGCCAGGAGAAGGCTGCCACCCTGCTGAGGACCGATGGTGGTCCTTCGTCCTGATCTCGGGGAGCGGTGCCCTCCGTTATCTGCAGGCTCTGGCGCGTGGCGCTGGAGGAATGCGCCCCCTCACATGACCACCTCGGGTGCGATGCTGAAGAGGAGGTCGTCGTTCCCCCGCCGCACCTCCAGCAGGAGAGGAGACTCGGTCAGCACGGCCTCCTGCAGCTCACTCGAGTCCACCAGAGGACGCCCGTTGACCTTGACGATGATGTCACCATCTTGGATGCCGCCTCTGCCAACAGGAGAGACGGGGTCACCACCCACAGCCCCCACAGGCACAGCCTTCCCAGGCCCAGCCCAGGGCGAGGCACAGTCAGGGTCAATGACAACATTTTAACAAAAGTCGTTTCGATGGGAAAGAACAGTGCCCTGGCCCCAAAGCTCTCACACCAGAAGAAATCCAGTGTCACATGACAGGCAAACGACCTTTCAAACTGCTTCTCCCATGCCTTAGAAGGGAGGGTTCAAGCTCCCGCTGCAGCCCTTCTAGCTGGGCCAGGCACTCTGTCCCCTTGAGCCTCAGTTTTCAGGTCTACAGTCCTATGTGGAAATGTGCTTTGCAAATTACAAAGGCCCAGGAGCAGGTACTGCTGTTACCGCAGTTACGAAGACTTCTATGTGACAGGCAGAGCTCGCGGGGCCGGCCTTCCTTCTGCATGAGGTTCACTGAGACCTCCCCACTGCCAGGAAGGAAGGTGATGGTACTGTGCTCAGCGGCGTGGGCACCAGCATCAGGACCCACACATGCTGGCTGTGTGACCTGGAAGAGTAACTTCTCTAAACCTCAGTCCCTCCATGTGTAAAATGGGTGAGGGCAAGAGCCTGCGAATCCCTGGCTGCAGTGAGGATTAACTGAGATGATGCGTGTGGAAAATCTTACACCATCTCAACAATTTTTACTGCAGGCCTCCTGTGGGCAGGGCTCGTGTGCCATCTGTGCTCATCGCGGAAGGTCACGCAGGGCCTCCCACCCTCAAGCCTAGCCTCTGAGGACGCACAGTACAGTTGGCCCTTGAACAACATGGGTTTGAACTGTGTGGATCTACTTATACGTGGATTTTTCCCACCGCAGATGAAGAGTGAGGCTAAGGAGGGGAGGCGACTGGTTCAGAGCCCTTCCTAGGGGTGGGTCAGCCATGCCAGCATGTGGTAGTGTCGCTGCACGCCTGCCTCAGCCTATGGTGTTGCAATGCTTAACATTTCTCTAGTACTGGAAGACTTCAAAGAAAGCAGTGCTTTATCCATTTCATCTACAAAGTCTCCTGGGGGTAGAAATCCCAGCACTTTGGGAGGCCAAGGCAGGCGGATCGCCTGAGGTCAGGAGTTCAAGACCAGCCTGGCCAACATGGTGAAACCGTGTCTCTACTAAAAATACAAAAAAACTTAGCAGGTGTGGTGGCGGGCCCTGTAATCCGAGCTACTCAGAAGACTGAGGTAGCAGAATCGCTTGAGCCTGGGAGGCAGAGGTTGCAGTGAGCTGAGATTGCGGCACTGCACTCCAGCCTGGGCAACAAGAGTGAGACTCTGTCTCAAAAAAAAAAAAAAAAAAAAAAAAAGGCTAAATTATCTCCATTTTACAATGAGAAGGTGAGTTCCAGAAAGACCCAGGACTCAGGCTCGTCCGCAGCTGGTGAAAGAGTCTGGCTTAGAGCGGGCTCTTAGCCCAACAGGTACTCCCTCAGTCTCTGCTTCTTGAAGGAAACGACATTGTGGACTTAGGATGGACACGGTCAGGGCTCTAGGGACCATTCAGCTCTCCAGCCTCCCCTGGCTTAGCAGACACACTAGAATTCACCTGCCCCTTCCCCATCACTTTGCTGGGAAGCTCAAGGTCACATGAGAACAGTGGGGCAGTCCTAGCCCAGACCTCACACCTGCCCCATGCCTCCAGCAATCTCCCTGTCTCCTCTGGCAGAGCCTACCTCTGAGAAGGCGAATTCGGCGTAACCTCTTGCACGTAAATTCCACTGCTGACCTCTGGGAAATCTGGGTTGCTGGCCTTCAGCTCATCCACCAGGCTGGAAAGAGTCTGCTGTCAAGGCCCCTCCTCTGAGCCTTTGCCCAGCTCCTTGGTATGAAGCTGCCCTTCCCTCCCTCCAGCATCAGGCCAGAAGAGGAGCCTCCTCTGGGCCCCCACACTGCCCTGTCCCACCACTGGCCACTCTGTGTCCCCTACCAGATGTGCTTCTCAAGAGAAATGTGGTAGCAATGGCTGGTTAGAAGCGTGAAGAGAGGAAAGAGTGGGTGGATAGTGTGAGGAGGGGCGGAAGGATAGATGGATGGATGGAAGAAGGAATGATGATGGATGGGTGGATAGAAGGAGAAATGGACAGACAGGCGATGCTGAGTCATGGAATGGACAGCCAATGCTGAGTCATGGAACGGACAGATGATGCTGAGTCATGGAACGGACAGACAGAAGACTGGACAGAGGTGGGATGGACAGACAGATAAAAGAGACAGACAGAAAGAAACAAAAGATAAATTGGTGTACTGAATGTTGATTATAATTTTTTTCAAATGTCACCCCTAGATTAGCAGAGTTGGTGAAACAGGAGGAATGACAGCTTCAGGGACTGTGTTGTTCGAGGAAATGGTCGCTTGAGCATTCTTGAGTTCTTCCTAGGCTCCCAATGCAGTGACCTCTCCCTTCTTCAAACCTCGAAGCTCAACTTTGCATTTCCAGCCTCCCTTCTATCCTGCCCCCACTTCCTCTCCCCCAGCCCCTTCTTTCTTGCACTCATTCAGCATTTCTAGGCACCTGCTCTGCCGTGGACCTAGTACTGGGGCAGAGTGGAGGAATGAGCAGGTCACAGTCCTTGCTCCCAAGGAGCCGACAGCCGAGGAGGCAGGATGGGGTGGGGCAGTCCCAACACAGGTGATTCCGACACAGCAGGATGAGTTCAAGGCTGGGGAGAGAGGCCAGGGCTCTGTGTGCTACGAGGAGGCACCTTATCCCACTTGAGTGTCCTGAGAATGCAGAATAGTGTGCCCCCAAATTCATATACACCCAGAACCTCAGAATGTGACCTTGTTTGGAAATAGGACCTTTATAGATGTCATTAGTTGAAGATCTTGAGATGAGACCTTCTTGGTTTAGAGCGAGCCCTAACTCCAACGATGGATGTTTTCATAAGAGAAACAAGAGAGAGGTGTGCACACAGATATTCAGAGAGAAAGAAGGTCAAGTGAAGACAGAGGCAGAGACTGCAGGGAGAGAGCCACAAGCCAAGGACACCTGGAGCCAGCAGAAGCTGGAAGGGGCAAGGAAGTAGCTTTCCGTGGAGCCTCAGAGGCAGTGCAGCCCTGCTGACCCCTTGACTTCAGACCTCCTACTTCCGGAACTGAGAGGAAACACATTTCTGCTGTTTTAAGTCACCAGGCTTATAGTAATTTGTTATAGCAGCCACAGGAAAGAGATGGCGTCCTGAAAGAACAGAAGGAATCTATAAGGCAAAGAGGGAAAGGTCCAAGCACAAGGACCGGCCTGAGCAACAATCAGAGGCCTGAGTGCATTGGCCCATCTGGGCACCTGCAAGGAGCCGAGCACAGCCAGCCAGGGTCTGGAGGGAGGGCCAGGGTGAGGGACGAGAGGAAGGGGCAGCAGGGGACAGCATTCTTCAGATACTCGCCTTGGTGTGATCGTCCGCATCCGTATGCCGATGAAGCGCTTCTTCCAGTCTGGAAATGAAACACGGCGAGACTCTGTTAGGGCTGCTGCAAAAAGCCGCCACTCTCCCTCAGAGGACAGGCAGAGGACAGAAGTTCCCCTGCAGGACCAGGAAGCAGCAGGTGTCATTTTGCTTAAGCCGGCCCAGTCCCCCTGTGGTCCGGCAAAGCTGCCCTCTCCTGACCGTCATCATGGAGCTGTAGGGTGTTCTAGCTCTAGTGTGCTCACCCCACAGGTGGCTTCATGTCCACCCCATCCTGCATCCAACCACGTGAGCTCCAACATCTGCTCTCCCAGCTGAGCTCCAACCCAACCCCAGTGGCCAGCGGGGCTCTCCTTTCTGGCTTGCATACTGCTGGTTCCCCAAATGTTCCCTGCTTGGAACTGAACTCATCACCTCCCACTGGCCTTCCCCAAAACAATACTCGCTGCTAATGTCCAGTGAGTACCAACCATTTGCCAGGCCCTGTGGCTGGGGCACTGCACACACACCTCACTGAGATACTGTCTCCATCCCCCGAGCTGCTCCAATCTGTGACTTAACAGGTGTCTCAGACCCAGAAATAAACAAGAGTCAATAAATTTAGAATTTTCATTTTATATAAGAATTCTGACCACAATTAGAAATCAACAATAGGTATCTGGAAAATTCCCAAGTACTTGGAAACTAAATAAAACACTCTAAATTACTCATCTTCAGATAAGTAAAAAGAGAAATTAGAAACTCTGTTCAACTGAATAAAAATGAATGTATAATATATTAAAATTCATAGGTTGTAGAGGTAGAGGGAAATTAATAGTACTGAAGTGCCTATGTTAGAAAATAAGTTTCAAATCAATAACCTCAGTTTCCATCTTAAAAACTAGAAAAAGACCAAATAAAACCCAGAATAACCAGAAGAAAAAAAAAATAAAGCTAAAAGTATGAATCAATAATAAAGTTGAGAGTGTGAATTAATAATAAAGGTAAGAGTGTGAATCAATAAAGCTGAGAGTGTGACTCAAAGCTGAGAGTGTGATTCAATAAAGCTGAGAGTATGAGTCAATACTAAAGCTGAGAGTGTGAATCAATAATAAACCTGATAGTGTGAATCAGTAATAAAGCTCAGAGTGTGACTCAATAATAAAGATGAGTGTGAATCAATAAAGATGAGTGTAACTCAATAATAAAGATGCATGTGAATCAATAACAAAGCTGAGAATGTGACTCAATAATAAAGATGAGTGTGAATCAATAAAGCTGAATGTGAATCAATAATAAAGCTGAGGCTGGGCGCGGTGGCTCAAGCCTGTAATCCCAGCACTTTGGGAGGCCGAGACGGGCGGATCACGAGGTCAGGAGATCGAGACCATCCTGGCTAACACAGTGAAACCCCGTCTCTACTAAAAAAAAAAATACAAAAAACTAGCCGGGCAAGGTGGCCGGCGTCTGTAGTCCCAGCTACTCGGGAGGCTGAGGCAGGAGAATTGCATAAACCCAGGAGGCGGAGCTTGCAGCAAGGTGAGATCCGGCCACTGCACTCCAGCCTGGGCAACAGAGCGAGACTCCGTCTCAAAAAAAAAAAAAAATAATAATAATAATAATAATAAAGTTGAGTGTGACTCAATGAAATCAATAGTATAAATCAATGAAATAAAGATAAGAATGTAAGTCAAAGAAACATAACAGTGAAAATAAAAACTAAAAGTTGATTCTTTGAGATCAATAAAATTGGTAAATCTTTAGCAAGATTGATCATGACAAAAAGACAGTTTTCAATATCACGAATTACAGAGGTGACATCACTACAGATTCTACAGATATTAGAAGAATAATAAGAGACTATTATGAACAACTTGACGTCAATGAATTTAATCACTTAGATAAAAGAAGCAAATTTCTTGAAATTTCCAAACCACCAAAGCTCATTCAAGAAGAAACAGATCACTCAAATAGCACTATATCTATTAAAGAAATTGAATTTGGAGTTAAAAAATCTTCCTACAAAAAAACTTCAAGCCCCAAAGAGCTCACTGGCGCATTCTACCAGACGTTTAGGGAAGAAGTAGTATTAATTCTATACAAACTCCACCCGAAAACTGAAAATGAGTGACTACTTCTAACCTCATTATCTGGATACAACAACCAGAAGAGAAAACTAGACCAATATCGCTCATGAAAACAGATACAAAAATTCTTTAAACAAATAAAATCCAACAATACATTAAAAAGGATAGTACAGCCAGGCATGGTGGCTTATACCTGTAATCCCAGCACTTTGGGAGACCAAGGTGGGCAGATCACCTAAGGTCAGGAGTTTGGGACCAGCCTGGCCAACGTGGTGAAACCCCATCTTTCCCAAAAATACAAAAAATTATCTGGGCATGATGGTGGGCACCTGTAATCCCAGCTACATGGGAGGCTGAGGCAGGAGAATCACTTGAGCCTGGGAGGCAGAGGTTGCAGAGTGAGACTCCATCTCAAAAAAAAAAAAAAAAAAAAAAGGATAATACATCATAAATAAGTGATAAATGAGGTTCATCCCAGGAATGTACACTTGGTTTAACATTTAAAAATCAACCAATGCAATTTACCACATTAACAGACTAGAAAAGAAAACCATATGATCATCTCCAGAGATGCACAAAAAGCCTCTGACAAAATGTAACATCCATTCCCAATAAAAACCAGAAACAGAAGGGAACTTTTCAACCTGATAGAGGATACCTATGCAAGTTTTTAGCTAGCGTCATACTCAATGGTGAAAGACTGAGTGCTTTTCTCTCCAAGATCAGGAACGAGACAAGGATGTTCGCTCTTACCTCTTTCATTCAATATTTTACTGGAAGTTCTAGCCAGGCAAGAGAAAAAAAAGCATTCAGATTGGAAAGGAAGAAGTAAAACTGTCTTTATTCACAGACTGTATAGCCATGTATGTAGTAAATCTGATGGAATCTACAAAAAAAGTTTCTAGAAGCAGTAAGTGAGTTATCGAGCTTACAGGATATCTTATGGTGAACATCCAAAAATCATTTTAATTTGAATACTCTTAACCAACCACCAGAAACTGAAATTTCAAAGAATACATCATTTATAGTAGCATCAAAATTAAGAAATACTTATGAATAAATCTGATGAAAAATGCCCCAAAACCAATACACTGAAAACTATAAAACATTGCAGAGAGAAGTTAAAGAAGATGTAAATAAATGGAGAGGTATTCTGTATTCATGGGTCAGAAAAGTTACCATGGTTAAAATGCCAAATTTCCCCAAATTGATCTGTAAATTCAATGCAATCCCCATCAGATCATCAGCAGGCTTTATTTTTCTTTATATAGAAATTGACAAGCTTATTCTGAAATTTATATAGAAATGCAAAGGGTCTGAAGAGCCCATGCAACTTGGAAAAGGAAGAATAAAGTCGGGGGACTCACATCACCTGCCTTTTAGACCTACTGTGAGGCCACAGTAATTGAGCCAGTGCAATACCGAATCTGCCTGAAGACAGATAGCTGGAATGGCATAGGGTCATTCTCTTTTTGACAACGGTGTGAAGGCACTTCAGTAGAGAACAGTCTTTCAACAGATGGTGCTAGAACAATTGAATTTCCAAGGCAAAAACAACAAAAACCCCCCAAACTTCGATCTATACTTTGCACTATTTAAAAATATACAAATTCAAAATGCATCGTAGTCCTAAATCTGAAACCTCAAAAAGTAAAACTTCTTGAAGAAATTGTAGGAGAAAATCTTTCTGATCTTGGGTTAGCAAAGACTTCGTAGACACAACACCAAATGCATGACAAATTGGGAAAACACACTTCATCACAATTTACAAAACTTCTGCTCTTTAAAGACACTGTTCAGAGAATGAAAAGACAAGCCACAGACTGGGAGAAAATATTTGCAATTTGCTTATCTGATAAAGGACTCCTATCCAGAATGTAGAAAGAACTCTCACAACCTACTAATAAGAACACACATAACCTAAATGCTTTTAATGCACCAAATATTTAAACACACCAAAGATGAACAGTTGATGAACAAGCCATGTGGGAGATGGGGTCAGAGCCGGCCGGTAAGCCTGACCCCTGGGTCCACTGGGTCCTGGAAGGCTTTGGATTTGATCTTGAATCACCAGACGTGATCTGCCTTTAGTTTTGAAAGGGCCTCTCTGGCTGTGGGAGGGTCTGTGGGGGATGGGGCAGCATCCGGAGGAACCCAGAGAGGTGATGGTCCAGGGCAGCGAGTGCCCCAGCGCTGGACCTGGAGGTGGAGGTGGAGGCGGAGCGGTGGCAAGGCCGGGGGTGGATGCGTCCTGAAGCCTGGACCAATGGACTCGCTGACAGCGGATGAGGTGTGTGGGGGACAGAGGGACAAGGCTGACGTAACTGAGTGGGGACGGCAGCTGGGGCTGCAGGAGCGGGGTCTTGTCAGGTGCTCTGAGTGGGAACTGCCCGTGGACATCGGTGGGGCCGTCCCACAAGCAGCTGCCCGTCCGAGCCTGGAGTGGGAGGGGCCAGGCTGGAGGCGTAAATCCGGGGGATCACTCTCTAGCTGGCTTCTAAATCCAGGGCATGGGATCCTCAACAGGCCCCGCACAGCCCACCTGGGACATCGGCCCTTCCCGCTCCCACTGCCTGCGAGTCCCCTGCAATCTCCAGAGCCTGCCCCGCTCCCTTCCCACAGTCTCTGCCAGAGGTGGGTCACCTCCTCAGAGAGGTCTCCTGCCCCCTTGTGCAGCCCTCACACTCGAGGCCCCGGCCTCCTCCCAGCACCCCTCACTCTGATCTGTGGCATCTGGGGGCATTTTTGTGGCCCGTCTCCCTGCTAGAAGGAAAACGGGAGGGAAAACGGGAAAACCTCTGGCTCACAGCCCACAGGAGTCCAAGGCACAGAGCCCGCACTTGAACAATGCCTGTGGTCCCGTCCGACTTAGACCCACCGTGCGGTTGGGAAAGCAGAGGCCCGGTAATGCCTCTGGGCCGGAGCTGAGGAAAGCGACTGGCTGTGCTCAGGCTAGGAGACTCTAAAGCCTCTTCTCCTTGAACTTAAGAGGTGAGCAGAACACACACCAAGCACCAGGCCACCAGGCTCCCTGCCCATCCTGCTCCCGGCCCTGCTCCTGCCAAGTGGCTGGGCTGCCTCCGCCAGCCTTTTCCACTATTGTGAAGGACTCAGGACTCCACCCAGCACAGGGGCCTGAGACTTGGGGACCTTATGGCTTCTGAGACCAAGTGACCCTGTGACCTCTGAGACTGGGGAACACTGTGACTTCTGAGACCAGGGAAACTTATGGTTTTTGAGACCAGGGGTCCCTGTGACTTCTGAGAACCCTGTGGTCTCTGAGATCGGGGAATCCTGTAATGTCAGAGATCTGGGAACTCTGTGATGTCTGAGACCAGGGAACGCTCATGCCCCTGTCCCTGTCCCCTCCCCTCCCTACAGCTCTCCCTTGGCTTGCGGGCCACAGGATAAATGAGGGGTTTACCCCCCAGGCCAGAGGTCTCCCACCTATGAACTGCACTGTCCCCCATAATCCACAGAGGGGCAGATGCCCGCAAACGGCCCTACTCCATGAATCAAACACCCCACATCACCCCATGTGGGGCTACACTCTGGTCCTAAGGCTGGCTGGACCCCAAGCCCTCCTGGGGCTCCCCCAACATGCATGGTGGCCACTCTTTACCCTGAAAGCCCCCCAGAGGCCTCTGCACCCCACCCCCAGACAAGAATAAGAAATGTACTTAACATCTCCTTGATTTAATAAAAAGATGGTTCATTTCAAAGAACTTTAGATTAACTGGGTTTGGATCATTGCATTTTATTAAATAAAAAAGAAAAGCAAGTACAAACACCAGTCAACTTCAGAAGGATTTTAAAATGGCAAATGTGCCATGCCGCTAAGGTTTATCAGGCTCCTCAGTTAGTCTGTGCTGTTCTTGGGGAGGGGATACAGCTCTGAGGACAGGGGATGTCTCCCAGGGGGTCTGGGATGAGGTCAGCACTAACTGGGACAGTCCCTGTAAAACAAAGGGGCAAACCCAGGCCCTGGCGGGATCCTGTCTCAGAGGAGAAAGAGAGAGGCAAGAAGGGAAGAGGACACTATCATCCACTTCCAAGTAAAGTCACCTCATAGCTCAGTGTGTGCAAATTGCAGCTCTGCTAATTTCCAGTAAGGAGGCTGAAGTCAAAGGCACCCATGGAGAATGGGATAATTCAACAGGAAAGGCTCGCTCATTAGAGAAAGGAGCACACTAGGACGGGTGTGGGTGCATCCCTGAATCTAGTTCTGAGCTTCCTAGAAGCCAACAGGAAAAGGGCTCAAGAGATTAGATGGTCCTCACTGTTCAAGAGTAGAAGACTTCAGCTTCTTTGGGCAAGACAGGCTCTGCCTGGCTCCAGATTGTCTTCCCATAATGGACACGGAAGGACAATGGCGGCATCCTCAACAGGAGCTCTTCATGTGACTAGCCCTCATGGCACCGGCCTTGGCTGCACTGGGGTCCATGTGCTTGGCTGACAGGGTCATGGAGGAGGGGGCAAACATGAGGAGGCCCCCTGCTCTCAATGAACTGCCAGTGAGGGGGCTGGGAGGAGACAGCAAAGCAATGTGGAAGTGTGAGTTGCTGAGTCAGGCCTAGGTGTTGGGCAGGAGGTGGGCATGGGAGACACAATGGCAGAAGGGAGAAGCTCACTAGGAAAGTAGAGAAGGCGGGGAGGTAGAGGCCCCCAGGAAAGGCCCTGTGATTGGAAGCATGGCCCTGCTCTGGAAGGTGGTTGCAACTGCTCACTTGAGGAGGCAATGGGTGTGCTCTTACCTGGGAGAGTTGCCTAGTGCCCTGGCGAGACCTCTCCCAGATGGGTGCTCATGGCAATCTAGGAGTGGGCAGGGTGGGCTGGGCATCCCTTTTGGATGGGGGTGAGGAAATGGGGGCTTGGAGGAGGGTGACTTCCAAAGACGGGGTATTGGACTCTGCTCCCCTGGCATAGAGGATATTCTACCATGTGATCTGCATGGGCCACAGGCTGGAAGAGAGAGTACTCAGGAGTGGGTAGAAGGATGGAAGAATAGATGAACAGGGATAGAGGGACAGGTGGGTGGACAGATGGATGGATGGATAGGTAGACAGGTGAATGAGTAGGTGGGTGGATGGGTGGAAAGAAGGAGAGAAGGAAAAAATAAAGGAAAAAAATAAAGGAAGGAAGAAATGGTGGACAGGTGGGTGAATGGGTGGACAGGTGGGTGGATGAGTGGATGAATGGATGAGTAGATGGATGGATGGATGGATGGGTAAATGGATGGATGGTGGATAGATGGATGGATGGAAAAATTGGTGGGTGGAAGGATAAATGAGTGGTTGGTTGAATGGATGGGTAGATGGATGGATATAGAATGGATGGATGATGGACAGGTGGATGGATGGGTGAATGGCTGGGTGGGTGGGTGGGTGAGTGGATAGATGGATGGATGAATGATGGATAGGTGAATAGATGAATGGGTGAATGGTTGGGTGGATGGGTGGATGGATAGATGGGTGGATGGACAGATGGGTGGATGGATGGATAGGTGGATGGATGAATGGATGGATGGATAGATGGTAAATGAGTGAATGGAAAGATGGGTGGGTAGATGGATGAGTGGGTGGATGGATGGGTAGATGGGTAGAAAGGTGTGGGTAGATTGATGGTGGATTGATGGATGGATGGATGGATGGATGGATGGATGGATGGATGGGTGGGTGGATGGGTGGGTGGGTGGGTGGATGGGTGGATGAATGGGTGGATGAATGGATGATTGGATGGATGGTTAGATGGATGGATGGATGGGTGGATGGGTGTGTGGGTGGATGGATGGTTGTGTGGGTGGATGGGTGGGTGGGTGGATGGATGGACGGATGGACGGATGAATGAGTAAATGGATGGGTGAATGGATAGAGAGAACGATGGATGGGTGGGTGGGAGGATGGATAGATGAATGGCTGGGTGGGTGGGTGGATGGATGGATGAATGGCTGGGTGGGTGGGTGGATGGATGGATGAATGGCTGGGTGGGTGGGTGGATGGATGATGGATAGGTGGACAGATGAATGGGTGAAGGCTGGGTGGATGGGTGGATGGATAGATAGGTGGATGGATGGATGGATGGATGGTAAATGGGTGGATGGAAAGATGGGTGGATGAATGGGTGGGTGGATGGATGGGTAGATGGGTAGAAAGGTGTGGGTGGATGGAGGGTGAATGAATGGATGGGTGGGTGGGTGGATAGGTGGATGAGTGGGTAGATGAATGGATGGATGGGTGAATGGATGATTGGATGGATGGGCGGATGGATAGATGAGTGGGTAGGTGAATGGATGGGTGAATGGAGAGACGGATGGATGGGTGAGTGGATGGGTGGGTGGGTAGATGGATGGATGGGTGTGTGGGTGGATGGATGTGTGGGTGGATGGGTGGGCGGGTGGATGGATGGACAGATGGATGAGTGAATGGATGGGTGAATAGATAGATGGATGGGTGGGTGAAAGGATGGATGGATGGATGGATGGGTGAATGGATGGGTGGATAGGTGGGTGGGTGGGTGAGTGGATGGATGGATGGATAGAAGGAAAGAAACACCTGACAACTAAGGAGCAGTCCAGGTGAGAGCAGCTTAGGGACTCCAAGAAGCTGATGGTAGAGGCTGAGATCGGAGATCACCAGCCAAAAGGAGACAGCCTTGGAGGGGCATGGGGTGAACCTGACCATGAATTGATGATAGGCAGGGGGAAGATCCTGAAAGAGGCTGAGGATAAGCTGTCCTGGGGGTCTCACAGCTTTGGGGTGGGCAGAGAGGACCTGTCCAGTAGTGAGCAAGGTTCACCCAGCACCTCTGATGGGCCTTGGTCCCAGGACTGGGGTGCTAAGGGGCTGTAGCCCTGGGAGAGTACCCCCTGCCTCTGGCCCCCTCCAGGTGAGCTCTTTACCTTTGATCTGCTTGTCTTGGAACTCTGTGAGGAACCGTGTGATACGGTCCGAGGGGATGGCAAAGGAGATGCCAGCCGTGACCTTGAGCGTGTTGATGCCAATGACCTCGCCATCCTGGGCAGGGAGGTAAGAGCAGGCATTGGTTGGAGGAACCCAGGCAAACCCCTGCCCACAAAGCACTGTGTCTGCAGCTCTGTTGCTAGAGGCTGACCCCGGCTGTCAATCACCCTACAGCCCCTGACTCCCCTGAAAAGGTCATTCTCAGGATCACACCTGGGTCAGTGACCCCCCACCTCTCCAAATCCCGGAGATCCCCCTTCCTATCCCTGGAGAGTATTTCCAGGGAAGCTTGCAGCTTGGGCCTGCCCCCAGGCTCTGGCCACTCTGCCTCTAAGAAGCAGGGCCATGGGACCAGGGACACTGCCAAGCCACGTTTGGAGGGACCGAGAGAGGCAGGAACATGGTGAGGCATGTCGGAGACTGAGACCATGTCTATCCCTTCCTTCCAGAAGTAGGGGGCTGACAGGTGGGGCCAGGGGAGCTCCTTGAGCCCCATCCGTCTCTTTGGTGCCCCTCCCAACCTGCCCTGCCCCCCATGAGGCTGGTGCCACCTGGGCAGGATCTGACCTGGCCCCTGGGAACCTCATGTTCAGGCCCGCTCCTGGAAAGGAGCCCCACCCTACAGCCTGGCATATACCCCTAGCGCTGCCCTCCCAGCCAGGGCCTGGCCAGCTCATCAGGGGACCCTCTGGGGCCTGGGGCAAAGCTTTGGGTCAAGGCACCCTTTGTCCTCCTGGTCCCTGGAAGCTCAGGAGGCAGGAAGAGCAGCCAAGTGTGAGATCCAGTAGATTGAGTTCTGTGTCCACCCTTGGCCCTCTGTGCCCATCGCTACTGCCTGGACCACGTGGAGCAGCCTCCTGGGCCTGGCTTCCTGGCCTCCAGCCTAAACCACATGAGCTTCTTTGAAGCCAGGGCATGCCCTCAGCCCTGCCAAAAGCCTGGGAGACATCTCAGGCACACAGGGTGAAGCCCCATCTGCACACGAGGCCTGAGGCAGCAGGACATGGGCCACCAGCCCTTTCATTGTCCCCTTGTCTGATCTCCCCCTCCCTAAACTTCCCCCAATGCTCATGCTGTGCCGTCTCCCTGGGATTTCTTCCTCCTGTACCCAGTCCTCTTCAATCTCAATCGCTGTTGTGTAATGCTCACCTCCACGAAGCCCTCTCTGATCTCACATCAGCTGCCAGGTCTTCCTGCCCAGCATCCCTCCAGAGCCATCTCATGTGGCTCACATGGGGCTGGGCCTTGTTCACACCTGGGCACCTCCCCCACCATGGACAGGAGCTCCAGGGGTGAGACTATCCGATTCTTCAGGGCCTAGGAGCTCTGAACTGAGCTTCCTGGTTTATTCTGGAAAAATCTCACCTGGGATGAGGCTGAGCTTGACTCTGAGGCTCAAGACACAACTGGGAAGGGGAGAACGAGGGTGCCCCTGTCATCCTGTGTGTACACCCAGGGCAGGGAGGGCTGGGGTGAGCAGCCCCACACCTGCGTCTCCCTTGCCCCAGCTCCCCTGACAGGCACATGCTCCTGGACTGAGCTGCTGCTCGTGGGTGAGTCCTCACTCCTGGCGGCCACCAGCATCCCTGAGGCACTTGGGGCAGCCTTGGTCTTTCCTCCTTCCAGGCCTCCAGCCCAGCTGCACTCCTGATAGTTGGTGTTAATTAATGTTCTAGGACCATATTGTGGGGCGTGTCCTGCCTCAAGGCTCAGCACCCCCATGTGAGAAGAGCCCCAGAAATCTAGAGATTTGGGCTCTAGGGGACACTTACCAGGTTCACCAGCGGTCCCCCGGAGTTCCCGTACTGCAGGGGGAGGAAACAGCATTAGCGGTGCCTGACCCCGCCTGAGGGTTCCCGGAGCTCCTTCTTCCAGCTCTACCTCTAACCAGTGCAGAGACGCATAAGCAGATCTCATCCTCAGCAGCATTGAAAGGCCTCAGTGCTGTCCCCGTTTCACAGATAAGAAGGCCAAGCCCACAGAGGCCATGTGGACGGCCGCCTGATGACCGAGGTCTGACTGTTACTGTTCTCTGCACAAACCATATGCTTTGGCATCTACACCCTGGAGGCCGGGCAGCACCACCTGATGCATGGAGAATGGAGGTGCTACTTCCTATCCTGCTGGCCTGGGGGACCCTCTACAAAGACTCAGATTCCAGCCAAGCGCCCGAGTCACGGCAAAGCTGGATGGACATGATCTGCGGCATCTGGGTGAAGTGCTTTGTGGATGCTAAAGGTGCCAGCAACATAATCACAATAATAATGACAAGCGGCGTTGGCCAGGGTGTGTAAGCTGGGCAAAGGTGTTTCCAGGCCATGGCCATGCCTCTGTTTCTCTGAAAGGCTGCCCGAGTGAAGACAGCAGCCTCTGACTCCCAGGGTGACTGGCACCCTGGGGTGGAAGTCACAGGAGTAGAGCTCCACTGAATGTAAAGAGAGAACTTTCTAGCAAGTGGATGTGTCGAGTGACAGAATGGCTCTGGGGATGGGGGCAAGCCGAGTCAGAGGCTACCTTGAGGCTGAGGTCTTGGGCACAGATGGCAGGTGCCCCGGCCTCCCGTCCCTGGGACTCACGTTGATGATGGCGTCCGTCTGGATGTAGTCCATGTCGGAGTCCCGGAGGCCCAGCTCCCTGCCCTCCCGCTGGGCAGTGCTGACGATGCCCGTTGTCACGGTGTTCTGCAGGGCGAAGGGACTGCCGATGGCCACCACAAACTCCCCAGGCCGCAGGTCAGCTGAGTGGCCCAGCAACAACACAGGGAGCTTTTTCTAGAAGAGGGAAGAAGACACAGAGAGGGAGGCTTAGCCGTCTACGTTCAGTGGGGACCGGAGTCAGATCCTGGCACGGGGGGTCCCAGAGAAGGCAGGCACATCTGTGCAAAGCCATCAGGACTGCGAAGGCTCAGGCAGGTCACCAGTGCAGACCAAGACCAGGGCAGCCCCGTGCTGAGACCCAGGGCTGGAGTCCATGGAACAGAGGCTCAGCTGTGCCAGAGAGCAAAGGTTCCCCCAGGGTAGGCATGGGTGCTCATCATGGGCGGTGCACACAGGGTGCAGCTGACCACAGCCTCCAAGGTTGTTGAGCCCAATGATCTGATGGCCACATGTCCTCTAAAAATCTGGTAAAAGCTGCAGACACCTGGTAAAAACTACTACTGTATATGCACCACACACAAACTGACGCATTTGATGGAGAGAGATCTGCGGGTCCCCGGAGCCCAGCTAAGGACTCCGGGAGCCCCGGTTTGAAATCCTTGATCCAGTTCAGTCTCATCTTCCAATACAGACACACGGGGACTCAGGCCTGGAGAGGTGACGCCACTAGCCAAGCTCCACTCCCGCCGTGCACGCTGAGACACCTGCACACTCCTGTTCTGCTTTTGCGTGGGGCCAGCAGAGCCTGATTATCTGACTCTGCAACTAGGCTGGGAGCTGGGAGAGCAGCCGAGCTCTGTGTTCCAGAAGCTGCGTGGTGCACACTCTGAGAAGGTGGTCCCCGGTGCTTGTTAGAAGGTGCCGAAGCACAGATGCACACGTAACTCGGGGAAGGCGGTTCTGTGCTCGTACCCACATCAACTTCCTGGTTCTGGTTTTGCACCCATTACCTAAGATGTCACCATTGAGGGAAGCTGGGGAAAGGCTCCTGGGACCTTGTGGCACTACCCTGTAGCTTCCCGTGGGTCTGTGATCCGCCAGGTCGCATGAGCCTCACCCCAGCTCAGGAGATCGGGGGGCAGGACCCCATGCCTCTGACCCTCTGGATGGCTCCCCTCCACCAGGCCACTGGTCCTTCTCACCGTTTCAGTCCTCTTCCCTTTTACGATACACCATCATGTCAAATGAGAAAGTTTCTAGCTTTCAATACGAGGAGAAAGCTACCAATAACGGGGGCGACGTGGAGCCCTGCGCAGGATTAAAGGAGCACTTGGTGGGCGGGTGCTGGTGAGGGAAAGGCTCAGGCCGCTCCTCTATTCTCTGTGCCGCTGGGGCTCAAGGAGCTTCAGACAATGGCAGAGAGAACCCCAGGTGGCAGAACCGGGCCTGCACATTGGAAGGCGAAGACCCGGAGAGATGACATTTTCCATTGCTGACCAGCCGAAGAGGCAGAAATAACAACGTCTGAAACTCCGGGAGGCCGTGAGCTGGGGAGGGTCGGCCCATCCTCCCTGCACCCAAGGAGGGCGCACAGGTGAGGGCCGTGAGCTGGGGAGGGTCGGTCCATCCTCCCTGCACCCAAGGAGGCTGCACAGGTGAGGCTGATGGAGCTGGGAAGGGTCGGCCCATCCTCCCTGCACCCAAGGAGGGTGCACAGGTGAGGGCTGTGAGCTGGGGAAGGGGGTCGGGTCCCATCCTCCCTGCACCCAAGGAGGGCGCACAGGTGAGGGCCATGAGCTGGGAAGGGTCGGCCCATCCTCCCTGCACCCAAGGAGGGCGCACAGGTGAGGGCCGTGAGCTGGGAAGGGTCGGTCCATCCTCCCTGCACCCAAGCAGGGTGCACAGGTGAGAGTCAGGAGCCTTTCCCATGGCTCGATTTAATGCTTAGGGGCTAGGAGGGCGTTTCCCACCTCAGGTCATAGCCATGGGTGCTGACCAGGGCCTGCAGGACGTGAATCACACTAGCTCTGCTGGCAGCCATTTGCCACAGGTGGCTGGTGGGGCATCCTGCTCAGCCCCACCTGGACACCACTCCCCCAGTCCTGCCAGCATTCCGCCACAGCCGCCGGCAGGGGACAGACAGACCTGCCCCTAGTCTTGCTCTCCTCTTCCTATGGGGGTCCTTGAGCAGGGTTTGCAAACTGGCCCAAGGCCCAAAGGCCGCTCGTTGCCTGTTTTGTGAATCAAGCTTTACTGGAACACAGCCACACCCACCTGTGCAGCTATGGCTGCGTTCTTGCCACTGCAGAGATGCATGGTTGTGACAGACCACAGGGCTTGCAAAGATAAAATATTTACCATTTGGCTTCATGGAAAGTTTGCTGGCTGGGCACCATGGTCATGCCTGTAATCCCAACGCTTTGAGAGGCCGAGGCAGGAAGATTGCTTGAGCCCAGGAGTTGCAGACCAGCCTGGGCAATACAGCGAGATCTTGTCTCTACCAAAAATTTAAAAATTAGCTAGGTGTGGTGGTGCGTGCCTGTAGTCCCTGCTATTCGGAAGGCCAAGGTGGGAGAATTCCTTGAGCCCAGGAGTTTGAGGCTGCAGTCAGCCGTGATTGTGTCACTGCACTCCAACCTAGGCAACAGAGTGAGACCCTGACAAAAAAACAAAAAAGGAAGAAAGAGAGAGGGAGGAGGGAGGGACGGAGGGAGGGAGAGAGGAAAGAAAGGAAAGGGAGGGGAGGGGAGGGAAGGGAAGGGAAGGGAAGGGAAGGGAAGGGAAATTTGGGGGCTGGGCACAGTAGCTCATTCCTGTAATCCTAGCACTTTGGGAGGCCAAGGCAGGGGGATGACCTGAGGTCAGAAGTTCAAGACTAGCCTGGCCAACATGGTGAAACCCACCTCTACTAAAAATACAAAAATTAGCCGGGGGTAGTGGCAGGCACCTGTAGTCACAGCTACTCAGGAGACTGAGACAGGAGAATCACTTGAACCTGGGAGGTGGAGGTTGCAGTGAGCTGAGATCCTGCTACTGCACTCTAGCTTGGCTGACAGAGCAAGAACCCGGCTCAAAAAAAAAAAAAAAAAAAGGGTGGGCGCGGTGGCTCATGCCTATAATCCCAGCACTTTGGGAGGTCAAGGCGGGAGGATCACCTGTGGTCAGGAGTTCGAGACCAGCCTGACCAACATGAAGAAACCCCGTCTCTACTAAAAATACAAAAAAATTGGCCGGGTATGGTGGCACATGCCTGTAATCCCAGCTACTCGGGAGGCTGAGGCAAGAGAATCGCTTGAATCTGGGAGGTGGAGGTTGTGGTGAGCCGAGATCTCCAGCCATTGCACTCCAGCCTGGGCAACAAGGGCGAAACTCCGTTTCCAAAAAAAAAAGAAAAGAAAATTTGCCAACTCCTGTCCTTGAGCACACCCCTCAGTGGGTTTCCTTGTCTTTAAAATGGAGGTGCCCCCAGACTCAATAGCAACCGTGAAAGGGCTGAAAAGCAGGGAAGGGTCCCCATTAGGGGAACTCCTTGGAACCATTAAATCTCCTCTCCCTTGATGGGGCAAGAGGAAACCCCCTTTGCAAAAGACTTCATCACAAATGCTGTAAACTTTCATTCAGAAAGAGAGGAAGCCAAATTCAAACCAGCCAAGGTGAACTTCCCAGCCCGAGGGAAGCTCCGGGTCCAGCGCTGGTGTGAGACATGGGACTTAGTGACCTCATGGCATGGGGAGGCCGCAGGTAACTTGACTCTGGTCCTCAGGGTCACATAACCATGGCGTTGGGCAAGACAAGAACAAGCTGGAGGGAGGCTGGGGTCCTAGCTGAGCGGGCTGGCCCTGCTCCAGTGCACTGCGATCTTGGGCGAGTTACCTAACTTCCAAGCCTCAGTTTCCCCATCTGAAATCCCAAGATAATGAGGGCCGTGATATGGCTTGGCTCTGTGTCTCCACCCAAATATGTGAAATTGTAATCCCCACGTGTTGGGGGAGGGGCCTGGTGGGAGGTGATGGGATTATGGGGGCAGACTTCTCCCATGCTGTTCTCGTAGTAGTGAGATCTGATGGTTTAAAAGTGTGTGACACATCTCCCTTCACTCTCTCTCTCTCCAGCTCTGCCATGAGAAGACGTGCCTGCTTCCTCTTTGCCTTCCGTCATGATTGTAAGACTCCTGAGGCCTCCCGGTCATGCTTCCTGTACAACCTACAGAACTGTGAGTCAACGAAGCCTCTTCTCTTCATAAATGACCCAGTCTCAGGTAGTTCTTTATAGCAGTGTGAAAATGGACTCATACAGGCCCTTTCCTCCCAGGCCTGGGGTGAGAATTAGAGGAGTGCAGTCAGCGCCTGGCTGAGAGCAGGCCTTCCGGAAACAGCTAGTGGAGGAACAAGAGGATTCTGGGGGCCTCAGTGCAGGCCTCTGGTGGATCAGCTGGTGGGAGGTACAGATGTGAAGGTGGAGGGATGGGGCCCCTGTCCCAAGTGTTCCCTACGGCAGCCCACTGGCCTCCACGCCCACACCCAGACGCCATCCCACGGGGCAGGTGCATCCCCAGTAGTGGGCCCAGGTAGGAAAGTGAAGCACCTCCATGGGGTGTGATACGGGACCACAGCCCACCCACTGTGGGCCGCACGCTTCCTGGCTCTGTCCTGCATCTAGTGGCTCGGGGAGCACAGGGCAAGGAGTCCAAAGACCTGGGCTCCAGGTCTTTTCTGAGCCGTGACCCTGGGCCAGGTGCCAGTCCTCCCTGGGCCCGGGTTCCTCCCACTGACCGATGGAAGGTGAGGCTAGCTCGCCTCTGGGGTCCGGCATCTGGGAAGAGGCCGCCATGCCCAGCCCCAGGTGCTTGTGCCCCTCCGTCCACGCCCACACACCTTGGGATGGATCTTGATGGTGGCGATGTCCGACTTCTTGTCGATGTCTTTGATGGTGGCCTCATAGGAGTCCCCATTCTGTAGCTGCACCTTGAGCTGCTGCCTGCCCGAGGCAGCGTTGTTGCTGGACACCACGTGGGCATTGGTGATGATCAGGCCGGCCTCTGACATGATGAAGCCAGAGCCGCTGGACAGGGGCACGTTGCGGCCAAACAGCGGGTGTCTGCAGCCAGGGAGACACAGGCAGGCGTTTAGGGTGGGGCTAGGACGCGGGAGAGTTGGGTGCAGCGGCGGGGCTGGTCAGCGAGGAGCAGAGCCAGTGTGCACCTGACAGAACACAGGTCTGGAGTCCCTCAAGCCTCCATTTGAATCCTGGCCGTGTGACCTGGTCGAGTCCCTGGCGCCTGCACACGGTCACAGCCATAAAGAGGTGATGATGATCACCTCCGGCTGCAATTTGCTGAGATGAGACGGGCTGCCCGAGACGTGTCAGATGACTCCCAGCTTGCATTCGCCATGCTGACTACGGAGCACGGAGCCAGGCAGACCAGGATGCTAATCCCAAGTCCAGGCCCCACTTATTATCTGCCTGGCCGTGGGCAGGTCGGTGAGGCTCTCTGAGCCTCGGTCTCTCCACATGGGAAATGGGACAACAACACCTCCCAGGTGATGCCTGGGCTCTTAAACGCCTCTCAACAGACAGGACAATAATTGGCCCTAGGGGAGAAGCTCCACTGCGCACGCAGCATCCTCCGGGGCTCTAGCAAATACCCAGGAACCGAGGCTCCCCAGAGGCTGGAGCAGATTCCTGATCATCCAGAGGGGGTGAGCGCTGGGAGGGCTGGGGAAGGCTTATTCCCACCTCCCTCCACCCCCACTACCAGGCTAGCTGCCCAAAGCCCCAAATGTGGCAGTGCTGGCAGCCGGCAGATGCAGGACCGGAGCCCTAGACACCCCGAGGGCAGGGGTGCACTGGAACAGATTAGGCCAGCCTGGGCCCTGCTCTCTGTGAATGGGGTGGAGCTGGCCTGGGTCTGCACGGATGTTTGCCGATGGGCAACGGTCCCCAGTTCTCACCAGAGCTGTCTGAGTAGAAGCCACAGCCCCACGTCCAGCAGGGTAGGAGGCTGAATGCCAGACACAGCCTGAGACCTTCTCCAGGGTGGGAGCCTTCGCGACCCCAGCGAGGGGCCTGGCCCAGAGCAGGTACTCACTCCCTGAGGCTGCTTAGCAGAGATAAGCGAGGAAAATGGGCCCCCTCAGGGCCCGAAACCATGTGTGACACACAAGGCATGGAGGGACGGGAGCGTTCGACACACGCAGGCATGCAGGGAATGTCTCTGCAAAGGACAGGAGCGTTGCTGTGACCCACAGGACCAGGGATGGCAGCAAATGCCGCCCTGCACTCCCACTGAGGCAGGCAGGCCATCGAATGCTCACAGGCACCCTGCAAGGGTGGTGCTGTGGTGAGCTGTGTCCCTGTCAAGAGATACGGCCAAGTCCTAACCCCATAGACCTGTGAATGTGACTTTATTTGGAAACAGGGTCTTTGCAGGTGTCATGAAGTTATGGTGACATCACGGTGGGTCCTCGGTGTCTTTAGAGGAGGGGAGTCCAGACTCACAGAGGGGTAGGCCATGAGATGATGGAGACAGAGAGCAGAGAGAGGGGTCTGAGGGCCGAGGTGTACCGAGGACTGCGGAAAACACTAGAGCCAGGAGAGGAGGCTGAGACACTCTCCCCACATCCCCCTGAAGAAAGCAGCCTGGCTTGATTAGGACCTCGACACCTTGATTAGGACCTCTGGCCTCCAGAACCATAGGAGCAAACATCTCTGTCATTTTAAGCCATGAAGTCTGTGGTACTTGGTTATGGCAGCCACTACCATCGTCCCTAACTCTCAGGTCTTCACAGTGGGAAAACTGAGTCCCAAGACGCTGAACTACTTGCCTAGGTCAGGCGGGCGGGCAAAGGGCATAGCAGGGGTCTGCCCCAGGCAGCCTGGGCATCTGGCTGCTCAGCCACCCTGCATGGTGACCCCAGCATCTGCCCACTCACATCCGCAGCCAGCTTCTGCCACACCCACTCCGTGTGTGCCCCAGAGTAGGAACTGTACCTGTTTGGCCTGTGGAAGCCCCAGGGTGCCTCCCAGGGCCTGGCACCTGCAGGGTCTGCAGAAAATGCCCACATCCAGACCTCAGGTCAGGGGTCACAGCTGGGAGGCCTGTGCCTGACGAGCATCTGTCTCATCTTGTCTGCTGGGTCTCACCCGCCCACTCAGGGCATCAGCCGCTGGAGGCTCTGAGGGTGGAAGCAGCTTCCCAGCAGGGCTTGAGTCAGTAATTAGCTGGTTCAGAGCCTGGTACCTGGGGCCTTCCACAAAGATGCTGCCCCCATCCCTACCTCCTGGAAGGCCAGCAAAGTGCCACTTAAGCGCATCCAGTTATAATTTCCTCAATGACACATCTCAGGGCCCGGGGCCCGAGGGAAGGGCAGTGAGGGGTCAGTGTGCTGCCAAGGGGGCAGTGAGAGGCCCATCAGCATGGGGCACTGGACAGGGTGGCAACCAGGGCTATGGGTTCTGCATGGGTGGTGCCCCCAGGGTTGTTTTGAGAAACAGGCTACACAGCACATAGCCCACAGCCCAGGGCGCTCCCAGCAGGTGTGGAGGATGTGACGCTGAGGTGCTGTGTGCCCGTCATGTGCTCTTGCACCCCCATTCAAGGAGCACAGCCTATGCTGAAGAGCCCGAGATGGGGAGGGCAGAGGGGCAGTGACGCCAAGCGACAGGGGCTTGGACAGGACAAGGCCGAGCCAGCCAGCAGGGAGGCTGTTCTGGAGCAGGAATCGCTCCTGGGATCTCCCGATGAGCCACCAGATTCTTAGTGCCCAGGGGCGGGCCTAGGGCAGTGGAGCCTTGTCACGGGGAGGCTGAAGGCCTCAGGGAAAGTGCGGTGAAAACAAGCAAGTTCCTGGAGCCCTGGCTGGCGGCCTCTGCTGACTGCTCATTGCCAGCTCCTTGTCCGCCTGGACCCGCCGTCTGATCCCTATCAGGGTGGAATGAGGCTCGGTTCCGGGGCCTCCTCATCGGGCTGTTTGCCAGCTCTGTCCACACCCACGGGCCAAAGGGCTGGGAAAGGTGGGTGGAAGAGACACTCTAAACCTCAGAAGAGTCATTCCTCTGCTTCCCCGGGATATAAGTCAATCTGGGACGAGCCCTCAGGGTTCTGTGTGAGCGATCAGACATTGGGCAGTTTGCACAGTGGCAGGTTCCGAGGGCAAGGCTCCCCCAAAGCAGCTCAGAGGGTCCCTGTGATGGGGGAGGTGGGGGATGGTGGCAGGGACCAGGGCAGGCACTGCGGGAAGAAGGGGAGGAGGCTTTGCCTGTGCATCTGCAAGGAGAGGGGGTGAGGCCACACGGTACACACCGCCTCCTCTACGGGGCTGGGACATCCTGCTTCCCTGTTGACCAACTCCACTCATTCATTCATTCTTTTACTCATCCCTTGTACATTCACTCATTCCCTCCCTCATTCATTCATTCTGCCACTTCCTCACTCACTCATTCCTCCCTCACTCATCCGTGCACTGATTCGTGCGTTCACTCACCCAGCCCTCGTTCCTCCCTGCTCTGGCCACACGGGCCTCCGAGCTTGCGGAGCTGCCCCCACTGCCCTGCGCCACTGGCCCAGCTCCCGGGGTGCCTACTTCAGGCTCAGCTTGGGAGGCCTCCCGAGCCCCCGGTTCCCACTGCCCCGAGCCCTGCTCTCTGCCTGCCATGCGTCTGCTCCTTGCACACACACCTGCTGCCTCCCGGCATCTCCTCCATTGGGTTCTGTGTCTGCTTTATTGCGCGGCCCCTCAGGAAGACCAACACATTGCAGGAACCCAGTAGCATGGGTGGCAGCATGAAGGGACAAAGACCCACAGCTGTGCACCTTCTTGGTGCCTACAGCTCCAGCAGATGTGGAGTCACTCTCCCCAGGGGCACACAGGCAGCTGGGAGATGTGACTGAGGTCAGCCTGACCCCAGGACACTCCAGTTTCAAGCCTGGTTTGGGCCCCAGTAGCTGGCCGGCATGCCGGGGGACACCGGGAGGCAGAGAGGGGCGAGGGGTCTCCACCCACCTCAGGAAGAGCTCTATGTGGACCACGGCTGGTGCGATCTTCTCCACCACGTCAGCGATGAAGTTGAATTTGTAGCGTGGGCTGCTCAGCTGGCGGAGACCTGCGCTGGCGGGAAGGGCCAGGTGTGTCAGTGAGACCCTGATACCGCCAGCTCCCAGAGGCCTATGCCCAGGGGGCAGGAGGAGGAGGCTCTTCCTGAGACCCCTGTCCCGGTTCCCAGCCAGCCTCAGCCCACACTGAGCCCGTTGGGGACCCCCTACCCCACAGCAGTGCAGTGACACCAGGCATTTGGGAAGGGCGCTCGCATACCCCGAGAATGGTTAAAAAGGCTTCCACGTTCTGGGCTTCCTCAGCCCTCTCACTGGACCCTGCCAGGCTGGCCAGGAGGCTCAGAGAGAGGTTAGGACATTATCCTGGGCCACACGGGAGTGAGGCTGGGGCCGGATCTCGGGTCAGTCCCCCTGGGCCTTGTCTGTTCCCTCATGCTGCAGCAATACCCTTACAGGAGAGAACGGGCCCTCTCCTCATGGGCTCCAGCCGGTCCCTCCGAGCCTCGGGGCTACAGCAGTGTGCAGGCGGGGGTGTAGTGGAAGACCCCTGGGTGACTTTATGAGCTACCCGGGCCCGGACACAGTGTGGCCCCTCTGGGCCAAAAGGGCTGCCAATTTCTGAGTCCACAGGGCCCTACATCGGTGTCTAACTTGGCCACACCCCAGCCCGACTGGCCAGATGGTTCACGAACTTCTCTGGGCCCTTCCCGGGCTCAGATTCCTGCTGCCGTCAGGAGTGGGGGCTGTGGCTGCCAGGACCACAGGCCTGAGGCATGCGGTGGCACGGGGCCCACAGACCTCAGGGTTCCCTGCATGGGCCTGTGCCAGGATCTCTCTGGTTCCCACCATCTGGAACGCACACTGCTCAGCCTCGCTTGTGGTTCCCGGGCCCCGGAATGAGACTGGGCTGGAGGCTGCACACACTAGGGGTTCGGCTGGGCCTGTCTGCTTTCTAGCTGTGTGGCCTCAGACAAATCACTTAGATTTTCTGGGCCTCAACTTCTTATCTGGAAAATGGGACTGAAGATGCCCTCCTACCACATCTATGGGGACTGAGTATGGAGGACTGCAAACTTTGAGTCCCTGCCGGGGGCTACCCACCCACCCGGTACCCAGCCACCCAGCCATCTTGGCGATGGGGAGCAAAGAGGGCTCAGTCCATAACGTCCAGCTTTGCAGCCCACGTTCCTCTTGATCACTGGGAAGCGGCGGAGCATGGGGACCGAGGGAAAATCTGGTTTTCTGGATTATCCAAAGGCACGAAGGTACCGTGGTGGGTGCCACTGTGGGGGCAGGGCCCGGGCTGCAGTCCATGCTGCTGGATGCCACTGTCGGGGCAGGACCCAGGCCGTGGTCCATGCTCCAGGAATCATCACGGGGCAAACGCAATCCCCAGGCACATCCCAATTCATTTCCCCAACTCTCCGGGGGCGGCCGGGGGAGGAAATTTTGCCTCTATTTTAAAGGTGGGGACACTGAGGCTCCATAAGAAGAACCGCTCTGCCCACGGACATGTGACTGAGAGGGGAGAACCAGGATCTGAATGCAGGCTGCAGAGCTCCTTTCCCTGGGTGCCCCCACCTCTGCCTTGTGGCTTCCCAAGGCCCTCAAGAGCCCTTTAGCCTGAGCTGGGACCTGGGGGGTTGGCTCGAGCTCTGGTGTTGGGTCTCCCAGACTTCCGATGTCTGCCTCTCAGCCGGCCCGCAGGCACCAGCCACACCAGCGCTCGTCCACTTCAGTCAGCCGGAATCAAAGGCCGCCTGTCTGGGGTGGCTAGAGCCTGGCTGGGAGACGCCGGCCACCGCGAGGCTCCTCATAGATCAAACTACTGCGGCAGAGTGGGGTCTCAGGTTCAGAGGTCACGTTAACAAGCACCCCAGGGGCAGGGCCTGCTGTGGGCCCAGGGCTCTCTGTGCCCACGTTTGCTTCCATGAGGGATGTGCTGCCCTGCTCCACACCTACAAAGCGGGCGGCTGCCTTGGTGAGGTGAAGCTGCCGTGCAGCCCGAGAAAGCAGCCCAGGCCTGTCCGCTCCTCCTCCCTGCCCCTGGGAACTTGAGTTCATTTCCTAGCCCCCAAGTAGAGAGGAAGGGCACCAGCCACAAAGCCTGCTGCCCTGGTGAGGTTCGGAGCTGCTTCAGAGCTCTCACAAGATGCCCTCAGACCAGCAATTCCCATGACCCAGAGGGACCCCAGGGCAACCCCCAGGCCCAGGCCCTCCTCCCTCCACCAGGGAAGACTCAGCGGGTCTGCTGCTCCCCTGCATGCCCTGGGGCCTGAGGCTGGCGCCCCATGTGCCTCACCTGAGAAGAAGCACCAGGGCATGGGCACAGCTCCCAGTCGGGACCGTATCGCCTCTCCCACCACGTGGCCTTTGTTGGGCTGCCTACTCAAGTTTCTGCTCATCACCCACTTCTCTACACCTCCACCTGCACGACCTCTCTCTGCTCTCCCTACCAAGATGCTCTGGCCTGTCCTGGGCCCGGCCCTAATCCTGCCTCCTCTAGGCAGCCCCCCAGCAGCCCCAGCTGGACCGAATCTGCCCCTGCTCACAGCCTTATTCAATCCGTGCGTGCAGGGTGTCTTCCATGTGCTCACCCGTGACGGCTGCTGGAGACACAGTGGTTCAGCTGGGGGCGAGGGTCAAGTCAGCAACTGACCAGTGACAGCACAGCATCACCAGGGATGAGGCAGAGGGGAGCCCGGCATGGAGTGGGTGAGTGCAGAGGTGCCCTGACCCAGGCCTGGAAGAGCCCACGGGCAGGGGCACAGCACATGGAAAGCCATAGGCTGAGCCCACATTGCCTGTGCAGGCAGCCACGGCAGACAGGGACCTGGGCCCAGTGTGAGCACAGCAGAATGAGGAATGCCAGCGCCTCTCCTCCCACGGGTGATTAGAAAAGCCTGCCTTCCTGTGTGTCTCCATCCTGGACTCAGACACTCCAACACCCAGGGCCAGAAAGTTCTCTGGGCCCCAACCTGTCCATCCCCTGCTTGACCTGGCCCAGGTCTCACCACGGGGGGCTGCAGAGCTGGGGCCAAAGCTGAGCCCCTGGACCCCCTCAAGCCCCTGGGCTGCTGGGCCCCTGAACTCTGACCCAGCAACCTGAAGATCTGCACGGCACTGCAGTCTCCACTGGAAGGACTTTCTCCCCAGTGTGGTCTCCCACAGGTTACTTAAAATAGGTGCCACTAGATTTTAGAGGGGAGATTTGTTGCTAAACCCTCTGTAAAATACTCATTAAGTAAAAGCCTTGCAGGAAACATCAGAATTCTACTACATGGTGGTTATTTGGGGTTGGGGTGAAGTTAGAGTGACTTTTTTTCATTTTTCAAAGAGAAAATAAAACAGGGCGGGAGAGCAAGGCCTGAGACAGAAGGGCCGTGGGCCTGGGCTGGGAGGTGGCCCATTTCCCACAGAGTCTCCAAAGAGAAGCCCGCATGTGCCCACCCCACACCCCAGGCTCCTTTGGGACAGAGACTGTCCGGTTCGCCTCCACACCCCAGTGGTAACCAACACAAGGTGAGACATTTCAGAAGGAAGGGATGGAGCGGGGAGGAGGGACGGAGAGGGGAGGGGAGGAAGACAGAGAGAAGGGAGAGAAGTTCAAGGGTGCCCTTCTTGATGCTCTCTGAGCCAGCACACAGTAGGTCTGCAAACAGCACCCTGAAGAAAGAATGTGGGTCAGCTGATTAACCAAGTCTCCCAGCAGCCTCACAACAGCAGCAGCACTGGCCCATTTTATGGCCCAGGAGACTGAGGTTGGTTGAGAGGCGAAGATCATTCACTGAGGGAGGGCAGGCCTGGCGCTGGCCCAGGTCTGGTGGATTTCAGGGTCTGGGCAACCCCAGAGGCTGGGGCACCCCTGCAGGGCCCCACCAGGCCCTGTCCCTTTAAGCGGACCTCGGTGGGTGGTGGGGTGGGGGCAGGGGCCTCTGTGCTCCAGCTCCTCCTCCCAACACGCAGATGAATCAGCCATGAATCAGGGGAAAGGAGGACGCGGTTCCCACTGCCTCTTTCCACAGGAAAACCGTGGGCCCCATGGCTGGGAAGCAGACTCTGTTTATTTGGGGTTTTTTGACAACCTCCACCCCCACCCCATCCTCGAGCCAAAGTTCTGAAGTCAACAGTCTCAACCAGATTCAACAGTCAGTCTCAACCAGATTCAGCCATCAGCCTTTTTTTTTTTCCCCTCAATAAACTGGAATCTAAAGGCCCCGGAAGTTTCAGTCGGGAAAACCCTGACACAGAGCGAAGCAATCAAGGCTCAAGGCTAGGTGTCTGGTGTCACCTCCCAGGAGAGGAAGGGGCACAGCAGGGCGCAGGGGAGACAAGCAGGGTGCCAGGGCTCCAGCTCCAACAGCCCTGCCTGACGGAGCTCTGAGGAGTCCTGGGGGACTATGGCCGACCCTGAGGGAGGACCATGTGCTGGCTCTGGACAGTCATAACTGCCATGGAGCAGATGGCGACACTGAGGCCGAGATACCCCTCGGGGTTACCTTGTGCTGCTGCATGGTACGTGCACTGCGTAACTCCAGGCCCTTATTGACAAATATCAGAGTGGCCAGCTTCCCTGCAGTTGTGCAGTGCACAACCTGCCCAACTGTATGCATCAGTCCCTCTAGCACATAATGTGCAGAGCTGGGACCAACACTCAGTTCTGTTCCTCCATCTTTAAGGTCCCTGCCCTTTCTTTTATTGCCCTGTGCAATTAGCAGACCCCTCTGTCACCCAGTGGTCAGCTGTGAGCTGGGGATGGACAAGCCATAAGTGGATAGCCATGGGTCCCAGGCTGTGACCATCTGTCCATAACAGTGACCATGGTCTACAGACCAGAAGGCAACATCTTAGCAGGGCATTCAAGGCCTGGGGTGTCCTGGTCCCATTGACATCTGCAGCCTCACGTGCTGCCACTCTCCCCTGTGGACCTCGGCTCTAGTTCCTGCACACACAGGCTCCTAAGTGTCACTGTGCCTTTGCACATGTGGTTCCCTCCGCCAGGAATATGCCCTTCCTGTCATTCCTCAGGGCCCAGGCCAGCAGCGCCTCC